CCAAACAAGGATTGTAAGTTATACCTCCCCTAATGCCAAGTAGTGGGACATTAGGGAACTCCCCGCAACGGTCAATAATAGAAACATCTCCCATAAATCGGGAATACCAGAGAATATTCGCGTGAGAAAGTGACATTATCCTTTGCGACCAACCCAAACCTTCTTCATTCTTCAACACTGACTTAGGGAGGTGAGAAATAAACCACCTCGACGGTAATGGCATGCAGCACATAAGGACCCCTCTTCTCTTCATGGTACAAGTATGGAGAGCGTGCAAGACATCTCCAAGCAAGGTAGGCACAAGGTTGTGAGAGAGGAAAATCTTGATAGCGTTCACATCTATGAGTAAGTCTGGATTAGGGAACATTACTAAACCATAGATTAGGAGGGCCAAGATCTCCTCAAAATCTTGAAAGTCCAAATCATCCCAAAACAACTGGCCCTGTCTATTAGGAACTTGGCTAGAAAACCCTTGACTCTGCTTCTTGTTTCCCAATTGGATACCACGTCAGCCCGTTTTAGATGCAAAACTGAGGCGATGACTTCTAGCTTCGGAACCTCTTCTAAATCTGTGAAAGGTAGCTGGTCAAGAATGGGTATATTCAATAATTGAGAGAACTCTTCCATGGTAGGCACCAACTGATAGTTTGGAAAGGTGAAGCAGTGGTGCTCGGGATCAAAGAACTGAAAGAGTACACCCATCATCTTCTCATCAAAGCTTGAAGTAACCAGTTTGAGAAGTCGACCATGTCTCTTGGTGAACGCAGAAGTTTCAGGAACCCTTGATATTAGTTCTTTGAGTTGGGGAGGTGTTCTCACAAAGTTGATTCAGATAGTGTTTCTACGAGCGGAAGCCGTGATATGAAAAATAGAACAAAGATAAAATCCATTGGTCCTTGAAATGGTTAGTGTAATAAGAATGGATGCTATGTTATGATGCATGATGTTATGTTCAAATAGAGTAAATCACACACAAACCAAACACACAATATTCCTTAGGTTCAAAGGCTTGCATGAGGTTAAAGGTAAGTACCCTCTTGAAGTTTAGTTGGTTTCAAACCTGTCTTAGAAAAGTAACTGGGTTCTAAGGATTCTGAATATCACTTATCATCCTCTATCGGGCATTATTTCAGCTCAGTCAGTCTTTTCTTGCGGCCGGAATATCCCAAAAGTCTGATCTTAATGAGTGTAGCATCGAGTATCAACCAATCCTCAGCTTTATACCGAGGCCGGCTATCTCACTACTTTCTAATGGCCAAGTTTGTTCAACTAAGGTTCTAAGGTCCGTTAGTGCTTCACGACACCACGCGGAGGCCCCGTATTCTCTTCGTTTCCACACGAAGGATACCGGTACCAACCAAGGTAACACAACCATCGCTTAAACCATATCGGTCTACGCCGTACAGTCTCCACGATCTATTTCCGTTTACCTAATAAGTTTCCCCTAGATCCGGGTGTAGGATCTTTAACAATACCCAATAAAAACCCTTAAATGTAAAGCAAACAAGTTAAACAAAATAAGCAAGTAAATGTGATCTAACCCTAAGGTAACCCCACTTATAAAGTCCCCAGCAGAGTCGCCATTCCTGTGATACGGTGGGAGAACTAACTTTTTGTTTTACATTTGATCGCAATGTTGTGGATAGCAAGATTTGCCACCGACTTTTTTTTATCCAATAAGGAAAGGTGAAAAAGCACAGGAAAGACCTTTAGAGATGTTTTCTTGAGTTCGGGGGGTAGATTATGAAAAGGGAAGGTGTTAGCACCCTTTTCATCCGTAGTTATCTACAGGCTCTTAGTTTCTTTCTAGATCAGTTGCTTTTGTTTTGAAATGTGCTTTGTTATGTGGGTTTTGAAAGTATTTTGAAAATGTGACTTTGTAGTGATTCTCGTCTCTATAAGAATACGTACCAAGGGTTGGTTTTGAAAATAGTTCAAAGAGATGTGTTGGTGTATAAAAATGTTTTTGTTGTGAGCAAGCGAGCAACTAGGAGAGAATCTACCTACTCAAAAGGTCTTAGATATTCTTTTCCTCTTCCTTTAGATGTTTCTATCTTACCATTGATTTGGTAAGAAGCCCCATTGTTGGATGTGAAGGGACGGGCGCGGGAAATTTTTGTATAGTCATAAAAGGAAACCCATGGAACATTTTAGTAATGTTGTGTGAGGGACTAGATCGTTTATCAAAGGCAACATAGAGGGTCATCGAGGGACTACGATCTTTTATCGAGGGTCTTTTGCTAAAACGTTCGAGGGACATGACTATTTTTCCAATAGGCAACAAGGTGGGATTACCCTAAGGGTGCTAGTGTGCAAGTGTGTTTGATTGCATGCATTTTAGTCTTGATTAGGATGATCTATTTGTTGATTTCATATCTTGACATACACATCCTAATTACTAGCATTATATATTTGGAAAAGCGTTAAATTGCAAAAATATAAAAATCCTATGCTATTACAATATTTTAGGGATGGGGGTACATATTTCCAAATGGGGGATTCAAGAATTTAAATCCTATTTAACTATTACAACCATATTTAAATGTACAATGCAAGAGAGAAAAATGACTTGTTTAGAAAAGGGTGTTTTGTGTCTTAATGAAATAAGAAAAAAAAGAAATAAATTAATCAATAAAAGAAAATATTTTTATGTCTTTTTTATATTAATAAAAAAGGGGATTAGTATTGAAAATGATAAAAAGGAAAATAAATGAAAGATAGAAACAGCGCGATGCTGCAAGAAAAACGACAAGGATCAGAAGTTTTAAAGCCAGGCGCGTTGTGACTCAGAAAGGAACATCAGTGGAATCAGAAGTTCTTGATTGATACACTCTAAGGCCCTGCAAGAAACGTCGGGGGGAAAGGAAACATAGGTTCTGGGTGGTATTCAGACAGTGAACCAAAAGTCAGAAGTTCTGTGTTGTTCTAAAACAGTGGGTGAGCATCAGAAATTCTGTGTGTTAAAATAGTAAGAAAGTACAGGAGTTCTGTGTGTTAAAACAGCGAGTGGAAGCATCAAAATTTTAGTGTGCTTAACATTAAGAAAGCCCTAAACATTTTGTGGGTTAAAATGGTGAGTGAAAAAACAGAAGTTCTGTGTTACATTTCAACTCTTTCGTCATATTAATCAGCACATTAATAATTTACTCAGTCCTTAATAGAAAATCAGGAGGATAAAAGCACAACAGTTTATAGAAGTTCTAATCCTAGTTCTGAGCCTAGCCTTAATCAAGAAGTTCTGATCCACAGTTTTTCTACTTATGCAATGATATGGACAACATCAATATTGTGATATTTACATATTTAATGATGTTCTGTATGAAAAGATGCAAAGTCAGAAAGACTTACCTTGAATCTGGAGCGTGTGTTTGGAACTTGAACTGCTGCCTTCAGATGTTCTAGAGTCAACAAGAGCAACGGAAGAGAAAATGCCAAGTTCTTTGATTCAAAGGGAAGAATAAAGGTTTGGTTTTCTGTTCGGGAATTGGATTTTTGGTGAAGGTTTCACAGTTCTCTTTTCTCTCTTTTGACAATTTTCTCTCTAAAAAGACCAGCCCCTTGAACGTGTGATGGAGCAAATTATTTATAGATGGGTTTGCTGTGGTTTTTGGGGGGAAAACAAATGGGATTCAAACCTTTTTGGTATACTATTTCATTGCTTTTTAATCACAGTTTTTGTATGCTAATTTGATGCAAATATGGGGTTTGAGAAAGTGCAGGTGTGGACTGGATCAGCAGCTGATTGCAGGACTGTAATATAGCAGAGCACCAGGTTGCTTAAACGAGGTTTTGGGATTTGGTGATGTTCTGATCGCGGAAGATCATAAATGTAACCACCGTATGCTGAAGGGTCATGTTCTGACCGAAAGACATTGCTTCCATATGTTCTGATTGAAGCATCATGTTCTGAACCGTGTCTGCAAATTCTGATTGCATTCGCATGAAGGCTGGCCCAGAAGTTCTGAAGTATCATATTCTCTTAACACTTAGAAAATTTCCTAAATGTTTAGAAATTTTATTTTTTCAAAGTAATTTCTTACTTCTGATTTTTTTGATGAACCAATTTCATGTCTTGATGAAATATAATTGTTGAAACTTGATTTGATCTAAAAAGTCAAAGTTTGACTTTTCAGTGTGCTTTTGACCATTTTTCCCCTGTGGATGATTTTCTTGAAAAGTTGTAATTCAAGACCTGAAACTTGATAGAAGCAAACCTGAGAGTCCAGGATGATCCTTTGAGAAATGAGAGGGCAAATTTTGGGGTACAACAATCATCCTGTTGGAGTAGTAATCGTCCAAGATTTCTTCATCATCCTGTTGGAGTAGCAATCGTCCCAGATTCCTTCATCATCCTGCTGAGGTAGTAAGCGTCCAAGATTCCTTCATCCACTACAAGAAAATTAGTGTTTAACGACACAAAAATTGCGACAGTTATGTGATAACTGTCGTAATTGACATATAGAGACAGTGTTTACGACAGTTGACACCAACCGTCCCTAATATTTATTTTGCAACGGTATATTTAACCATCATAATATTATTATTACGACAGTAAAACAACCGTCGGCCCCCATTTAACACTTTTAACATTGATTTTTCACCAACAACTAGTCACGACGGTAAAATTAACCGTCCTAAAAGGCATATCACGACGGTAAAGCACCCGTCGCACCCTTAAACCTTTCACGACGGTAAAATTATCCGTCCTAAAATTCATTTCACGACGGTAAAACAACCGTCGCACCCAAAACCTTTAAAAGTTCTCATGGGCACGACGGTAAAACACCCGTCGCAATAAAAAAGTTAAAAAGCTCATAAAACATGGATTAGAATGTTTCTTTAACAGTATATTGAACAAGTTCTGTTTCCGCGGCATCCTCGACGAATCAATCGGCGAGGGAACCCATTTCCTCATCCCATGGGTTCAAAAACCCTACATCTTCGATATCAAAACCCGCCCCCATACTTTCTCATCAATATCCGGCACCAAAGATCTTCAAATGGTTAACCTAACTCTCCGAGTCCTCTCTCGTCCCGACACCGCGAAACTCCCTGTCATCGTTCAAAACCTCGGTCTCGAATACGACGAGAAAGTCCTCCCTTCGATCGGTAACGAAGTTCTGAAATCTGTTATGGCGCAATTCAATGCTGATCAGCTCCTTACTGAACGTCCTCAGGTTTCTGCCCTTGTTAAGGAGACTCTTGTCCGACGTGCTAGGGATTTTAACATCCTTCTCGACGATGTGGCGATCACACATTTGTCTTTGACAAATGCTGTGTTGGCTATGGTTAAGGCTGCAGTTGATACTGTTGATTTTGAGCTTCATAGTGGAACTCATCCTAGACTTGGAGTGGCGGATCATATATGTTTTCACCCTTTGGTTGATGCTTTGTTGGATCAAGCGGCTAGGACTGCGAGGTGTTTAGCTTCTGACATGGGTTCTAAGCTACAAGGTTAGTCGTAGTAGCACGAAAGGATCGCTTTGTATTATATTTTATTATGTGTCTTAGATTTTCATCTTGCATTAGTTGATTTTGCACTTCAAGACCAAAATCACTCTTTTTGTTGGATATTTCCATATTTGCACATGATGAATTTCATGATCACCATTTTGTACACTACAAAAGTGATTATTTATGAAACAGTCTCATATTTTTAAATTAGTTCAATTACACATCAATGATCATCAAAACTACCTGCAGTTCCTACTTTCTTATACGGAGCGGCGCATGAAGAGGGGATGAAACTTGATTCAATAAGAAGAACATTTGGTTATTTCAAGCCAAACTCTAGCGAAAACCAATGGATTGGGGTCTCCAAATCCGACACTTTGTCGCTGAAACCATATAGTGGTCCATCTCAAGTGACTCTGTCAAAAGGCGTTGTGGTCATTGGAGCAACCAATTGGGTTGATAACTATAATGTCCCTCTGTTATCTTCTGATATCAGTGCCGTTCGCAGAATTGCAAAACAGATTAGTGGAAGAGGTGGAGGGCTCGCTTCGGTACAGGCCATGGCACTTACACACGGTGAAGGTATAATTGAAGTAGCTTGTAATTTGTTGGATCCAAAGAATGTCGGTGGTGAAAGAGTGCAGCATGAAATTGAACTCCTTGCAAAGGAAGAAGGTATTTCTGTGGAAAAGGGATACTACACAGACTTTTCAGAGGAAGAAATTGTTGAAAGTTATTTGAATCTGTTTGAAGAGAGAATTTGATGTAGGAAAATTACTGTCATGTACTGAGAAGGTTTTTTTGGCATACTCCGTGTGTGGAAATAATGAAACTAAAACAAGTAGTAATGTTTATGAAGCGAATGTTTATGAATTGCTGAGGAATTTGAGTGTGTTGGCACCGAAAAACGGTGGATTTTCTGTTGGGTTTGTTGAGAGGAAGAATGTAACGGTGTATGGTTTGGCTCAGTGTTGGAAGTTTGTTACTGGTGGTAACTGTCGGAGATGTTTGGAGGATGCAGTTACTAGGATTGGTTCTTCGTGTAGGAAGAAAGAAGATGGACGGGCTTTGAATTCTGGTTGTTATTTGAGGCATTCACCACACAAGTTCTATAACAATTCAAGTAGTAATGATGTTGCTGCTGGAAATCGCGGTGAGCTATGATCTCTTTTTCTTTCGGTTAGCCATGAATTGTGCATAGTCACGGTTGTAATCTGATTTCGTCGAAACTTTGAAGTATTGATTTCATCAAAATTACAGTAGCATGATTATGCCAAACTTACCATTTTGAACTTGTTCATAATCTTGAATTTTTGTTCATTGTATTTTTTGTTAATGTAAAGTAGTTTAAAATATCAGAATCATGGTTTTAAAGTTCAGTTGCGATCGCTGATGCAGTTGCGGGTGTTGTGACATGGTTGCCGCAATGCGCATTATGGTCGTTGCAGTGTGAATTTTGATTGAGGGGTTTGAAATAGACCAAAAACATTTAATCTTAAGATTTTTCATTACATAGTGAGGTTTTGAAATTTTTAGTTTTGGTGAAAATACTTGAAGAAACTTGAGCGACATTGTTAGATGCGGTTCATAATATAGTCGGACGCGTGGTTTTAAATCACACTGCAATTGCAGTCCAATACGGTTGTGGAAGCTACTGCATTAGCAATATTACAGCCGCAATTGCGTTGCGGACCGCAATTTATAACCATGGTCAGTATTATGATAAGAACATGATTGAAGCTTGAAACTGTGTTTTAGGACACCGAAAAATGGCTATAATATTGGCTGCATCTTCTGCTGTCTTGGCTCTTCTTTTGGTTACTGCAACAATGGGTTTCTTTATAAGAAAGAATGTAATGAGGAAAAGAAGAGGTACACATGTTTAATATTTAAAGACTGGAATTACTTTTTTCCAAAATACTTGTGCTAAAAGTTATTGCTATGTGTGTGTGTTTTTTTACTAGAGAGAAAACAATTTGGGACACTTTTGGATACAGTGAATAAATCCAAGCTAAATGTTCCATATGAAATTCTTGAAAAAGCAACAAATTACTTCAATGATGACAATAAGCTAGGACAAGGAGGATCAGGTTCAGTTTATAAAGTATATTCTGATCTTATCTTATTGTAACTTCTTACAACCTTATTGTTGTTAAGTGCTTATAGATTTTTCCTTTCATTTTAGGGAGTTATGCCAGATGGTAATACTGTGGCTGTTAAAAGGCTTAGTTTTAACTCGACGCAATGGGTGGATCATTTCTTCAATGAGGTTAATTTGATTAGTGGAGTTCATCACAAAAATGATGAGAGAAGAAAGAATACTTACACGTCGGAGTCACTCCGCCAACGCTTCAATCGTGATTCAGGTATGCATTCTTAATTCCTCATTCTTCTATTATTTCCGATTCACACGTATTTTCTATTGATTCGGTACAATTCAATTATTGAAGTTTGTTGTTGTGATTGGTGTTGAAATAGAGGGAATGCTTCAAGCTTGAAGTCGCGATGATGCCATTGATGATGAAGGTTGACGAAGCTGTGTAGAATATTGTAGAGAGGTTGTGTATAGTTGGCTATTAGGATGGGATGGCTTTAGATTTGAATGAAACTGAGAGTTAGTTGCTCTCCCTTCCAGTTTGTTGAAATCCAATGGATTCCTCTCCCTTCCACATGCACAAAAATGACACCAATTTAGTTTAAAATTATGATGGAATTAACACACTATTATAATGCTTCAAAATCCTGCTTCAAAGGTTCCAGCTGCAGAAACAAGTGTTTCATGATGTTGGATAAACTGATTTGGAACAAGAGTGTACTGTTTAGAGAAAATAGGTATAATGGAGCAAAAGAAGATTAACACTAACACCTCATGTATGTTCTCCATTGTGTTTGTGTGAGTTTGTACCAATCATTTTCATTACAGATTCAAAGTTAAAAAAAAACAAAGGCAAAAGAGACAAAATTATATATCCTTCATTACACCTTTTGTGGTCATTGGCTTTTGATTTATGGATGACATACAGACAGGTAATAATGCATTTGTTAAGAACAAGTCAAGTTTCATCAGCATGTATATAAATTTATCCATTTGTTTTTCATAAATTCCTATAGCAATGTCAATAACGGTATTATATATAATGTATATTCCTCACACAATCCAATGTTGATTCAGATTATGATGCTAAACCCAGCTTTACACAGATCTTGGTAATCTCATCTATTTGGTTGATATTTTTCATAGCATTGCGTTATCATCTCAAAAAGATTCGAGATCAAAAGATCATTCCGCGTTTAAGATTATCGCGTGCAGGTCACCCCCCAAAGCTTGAAAGATTCTCTCATTACGTAGGTATACAAAAAAATATGTATTCTATTCAATTACATACATTGATGGATCCGTTATTATTTTATCATTTGGAAATTGGAATGAATCTATATGTCATTTTCTTTGATTTGTTACAGCTAGGCAAATGGGGTTCAAGGATAGGAGAATCGGTCCTGATATATGTAGATTGGCTTCTGAATACATAAGCAAATATGAAGGGTTTGAAGATGATATATATTCCTATTTTGAGAATGAACCAGATGCTGATTCACTTTATGTCAAGTTGGTGGAAGAGTTTGAGAGATGCATTCTTAGTTACTTTGGATTTCATTGGAACCATTGTGACATATTGATAAGTCAGGTATCAGGGTTATCTAGTTATTAACAAAATATCAGAGGTGTTAGCAGCAATACACTCTCTAAAACTGATTTTTTTGGCTTTGCAGGTTTTGAGCTCGGACATTTCTGAGCCAAAAAAGAAGCTAAAGAACATAGTTATGGAATCATATCCAAGTTGGAATCATATCCTTCAAAAGCTTCTGTCTCTCTTTTTCTATACACAACCACAAAATAAATTCTTAGTTGTTGAAAAAATCTAATGTTGAATGTTTTTGAGTTGGATTCCTTAACATGATGAATGTTACAGTTGCTGGTGAGATAGTTGGTTTGAAAAGCATAGCAGCATACTATTTTGGTTTAGATATCAATACAAATGTCACCAAAATGGAAGCTGAAGAGGCTCTACAACAGGTGTTATCTGGTTAGTAGAAAATGAAAATGGATTTAATTCAAGGTTTTCAATACCGTTTTGTCACGGCTGTTTTCTCGGAAACGAACCGCTTTTTACAACCTTGGTTTTATTAATATATGTTTTATGGTTTTATTAAAGATTACTTCTGATTATTTTTATAATTCAGTTTGGAAGCCCGTCTTGGTAGCAAACAAAAACCTTGTTGATTACATCTTCTTGATAAGTTTAGAATTTGCTCAATCACATGACTTGCCAATGCAGATACACACAGGGTAATGCATGCTTTCAAATTATTGATTTCTATACATTTTTAGATGAATTTACCATAAACTTTACTTTGTAAAATTAATCAGATTTGGAGATAGAGGTTTGAATCTGAGAATGTCCAATCCTCTTTATCTCCACAATATTCTTGAGGACAAGAGATTTGCAAAGTGTAGGATTGTTCTTTTACATACATCATATCCATTCTCAAAGGAAGCATCATATCTAGCTTCTCTCTACTCCCAGGCAAACAATTCGCAACTCAGTCACTTGCGTTAGTTTGTTCGAATTTATATTAGCACTTGATTATAGAGCAAATAACACAATCTTCTTATTCAGGTTTATCTTGATTTTGGGTTGGCTATTCCAAAGCTTAGTGTTCATGGCATGGTTTCTGCAGTGAAAGATCTCTTAGAGCAAGCACCATTAAATAAGGTGACACTATAAGAAATTCAGAAAGTACTGTTTTTTATTACCTTTTGTTAAATTCATAAAGGGTAAACTTTGTATTATTGCAGGTGATGTTTAGTACTGATGCTTATGCCTTTCCTAAACTCTTCTACTTAGGTTGGTTTAACATCGATTATTATGTTACTTAATTTCAAAGATTATACTCTGTGAAGATTATTGGTTAAAATCACGAGTTTTGTTGTGACAGGTGCGAAAAATGCCCGCAAAGTTGTTTTCACAGTTCTGCGTGACTCGTGCATTGATGGCGATCTCACTGTTTCAGAGGCTGTGGAAGCTGCAAAAGACCTCTTTGCACGAAATTCAATCAATTTCTATAAGATTATCAGTTAACATTGTTGTTATGTTCAGATGATTATTGTGTTGAAGACTTTATGTTGGGTGGTTATTACTTTTTCATTAAGGTTCTATTTTAGGAATATAGTTTTTTATCAGTTATCTAGTAGTTGTCAAGTGTTGGTTTTTAGATATGTTGTTTTTCAATCATATGAAGTTACTTTTTTATCATTCTGTGCTTTTGATGTATAGTAAGAAACTTTGTTACATCTTTTCTTTAAAGAAGAAATAATTTAAAGAAAAAAATAACACAAAAAAAAAACTATATTTAAATTTTTTTACATAGATAATAATTTAAATAAAAAATATATATAATAGAAAAATAAAAAAAATCAAGACATAAACAAAAGTCATGGCGACAGTACCGAACCGTCGTAATCAACAATTAAAAATAATCAACAAAAGTCATGACGGTATCGAACCGTCGCCATAAACAATTTAATCAATTTCAAAAGATATTCACGACAGTATCGAACCGTCGCCATCAATAATTAAAAGAAACTCAAAAGATAGTCACGACGGTATCAACCCGTCGTAAACTTGAACGACAGTTTTTGTAACCGTCGCGAAATAGGTTGGGGACACACACTTCTGCGACGGTAAAGCAACCGTCGTGGAAAGAAAATTGTGACGGTTTTAACCGTCGTAATCTACAAAAATACCTGTCGCAATCTGCCAATTTTCTTGTAGTGATCATCCTATTAGAGTAGCAATCGTCCCATATTCCTTCATCATCCTACTGAGGTAGTAATCGTCCAAGATTCCTTCATCATCCTGCTGAGGTAGTAATCGTCCAAGATTCCTTTATCATCCTGTTGGAGTAGTAATCGTCTGAGATTCCTTCATCATCCTGCTGAGGTAGTAATTATCCAAGATTCCTTCATCATTTTGTTGGAGTAGCAATCTTCCCAGATTCCTTCATCATCCTGTTGAGGTAGTAATCATCTCAGATTCCTTCATCATCCTTTTGGAGTAGTAATCCTCCATGATTCCTTCATCACATATCACTACCTAAAAAAAGACATTCGTCTGTGAACAAATTGATTGTAGATCGATTCCCAAAATAGGACAAGGAGACTATCTACATGACAAACACTTCCTTCAAACCTCTGTTGGCTCAGACTAAATCGACCATAGATTTATTTTGATGCTTCTCTCGGTGGACCTTTTGTTGGCTCAGACTAAATCAACCAAAAGATTTATCTTGATACCTTCCACAGTCACTCTGGATGGCATCTATAAGCCCATCTCCAATAACTTTCCATCATTTCTCCAAATGGCATCTTTAATCCCATTCCCTACACCGTCAACTAACATGTCATCGAGTGCAAATTTCTGGGCACTTTTGTGTTCAATCATCTTCCACCTTCAAGTCACGAATGGTAGGCTTTCCAGTCTAACTCTTCAGGTTTAAGAAGATTGAATAGGGGCAGCTGTTGTACCCTAAAATTTTCCCTCTCATTTCTCAAGGCATTTCTCACAAGGATTCTCAAAATTCAAGCTTGCACAATTACAATTGGAGGAAACTGTTAAAAAGGGAAAAACAGATAAAAATAATCTTTTCAACAAAATTGAAAAAAATATGTTTTCTTCGATTTCCCTTGCTTCGATTGGATTTTTGGTCCCCTGCAAGTTTACTTTGATTCACAAGGCTTCGATTGGACTTTGGTCTCCTTCAGACCTTCTTCGATTTCCCTTGTTTCATTTGGACTTTAGTCTCTTTCAAGACTGCTTTGATTGGACTAAGACTTCTTTTTGCCTCATTCGATTCATAAGACAATGGCATCCTTTATGGCTCTTTCGAATCTGGATACTTTGGCCTCCTACATGCACCTTTCGTTTGGGCATTTGGTTCCTTCAGTACAAGCTACTGGTCACACCATAGGTTTGGGCACATGAATCCTTCAGCATAAGGTTTTGCTCAAACCTTTCATTTGGGCATGTTGGTTCCCTTCATGCAAGCTTCGTTTGAACATAGATCTTTTGCATGTTGTCATGAAGTCACAAGGCAGGGACCCCCTATGTACACTCTTTCGTTTGGCCACATGTGACCCCTGGCAGGCAAGCCTTCGATTGGATAAGAGCCACCTGCATACAATGTTTCGATTAGAGTTTTGATCCCCTTCGAATCAGCATCTTTCGAACCCAACTATGGATACTTCGAAGCAAGTTTGTGCAAATCTCATGGCCTTACCCTACTTGTCAGGCTATGTTGCTTCCAAATCTTTACATAATCAGAAGCTTGTACAAAGGTTCTAAGCTTTGCCTACTGGATAATACTATTCTTGGTTAAAATAGTAAAGGCTACGTACTTTTTTTCATAGAGAGTACTTTTATCCCAAAAGCAGCTTCCAAACTGATTTTTGTCTAATCACAAGCAATGTCAAAAGCATAAGTCCAATCTTATGCCACCAGGCTCCCACTTGTATTGGAAACGTGGGAAAAATGAAAAGGGACTGACTTGTTTCACCTTTAACCAAACCATGGTTTGTCATCATACAAACCTGGTTACTTCAAACATGTTGATTCTTTTCTCTATAAATAGAGAAGCATCTGCAAGCTTAAGAGAGCAATTTTTGGCTAGAGGAACGAATCTCCAAAATTTTTTCAAACACAGAAAAGATCTCAAACACAATAAAGCTCTCAAACACTTAAACACCTGTCAAACACAAACCCAGAATCCAAACACTTGTCCTCTTTGAATCTGAGAGGTCCCTGTATCTTATTCCCTTCGAATCCAGTAGGAAGAACCTCACACTTGTTATCCTCTTTCGAATCCAACATCAAAGGCCAAACCCCTAGCCCTTTCCTTTGAATCCAGCAGCATTCAAGGAAACCACTTCAAGGTCCAGCACACCCTCCAGCCTCCAACAAGGTACGTTGTTCCAAACCTTGAGCTTTTTGTTTCTTGTATAACATGTAAATAAGCTTTTCTTTCGTTTCAAGAATGTACATGACATTTTTTTACTTTTTGTTTCTGCCCTTTTCGTTTGTTTTCTTGTCAAATATATGGTAGAACTAACTAGTATATGCCCAATCGAAAGAAGTAATTTTTGTGGGAAAATAAGCCTCGGGCTTCACCCCCGATTACTGCTTCACAGTCCAAATGAAGGAGCCAGAAGGGAGAAACAAAAGGTGTTCACACTGATTCCATGACCTAGTCGAGAGCAGCAGCTAGAAGGAGAAATCGAAGGCTTCCTCTTGCGCTAACTGCTAAGCTCAATCGAAAGAAACAGTCAGAAGGATGACCATACTGACTTCAAGGTCCCATTCAAAATAAACAGGAAAGGGGTGAAATCGAAAGATAAGTCTTTACTAATTCCAGGCCAAATCGAAGGAAGCCAGGAAGAGCAGAATCGAAGGGTTCTGCTGCCCAAATCGAAGCACTCATTTTTCCTTTCTTTATTTTGTTTTTTCTTTACATTTTCTTGCTATTCAATATGGTTGTAATAGTGTAGGATTTATTTTCTGCATTTTTATTGCTTCTAAACAAATGCTAGTAAAATAGGATATGTATGGCAAGATAAAAACAACAAGTAGACAACCCATAATCAAAGACTAAATGCATGCAAATCAAACACACTATTCACACATGCACCCCTAGAGTTAACTCCACTTGTTGCCTAAAAACGATCATGTTATGCATGTGAGACGTCTTAGCAAAAACAATCAAAATACAAGATCATAGTCCCTCGATGAAGCTTCGAATGTTGCCTTACAAATGATCTTAGCCCCTCAAGAGAAGTGCTAAGATATCCCACAATATTGTTATCATGACTATACGATGACCCACGCCCGTCCCTTCACATCCAATGGTGGGGCTTCTTACCAAATCAATGGTAAGATAGCAACATCTAAAGGAGAAGGAAAAGAACGTTTAAGACCTTTTGAGTAGGTAGGTTGCTCCTAGTTGCTCGCTTGCTCATAACAAAAACATTTTATACACCAACACTTCCATTTTGAAACATTTTCAAAAGACAACTCTTTGTATGCATTCTTATAGAGATGATAACAATTACAAAGACACCCTTTTCAAAATCATTTTCAAAAACACATTACACAAACACTTTCTTTGAACTATTTTCCAAACAATACTTTGTATGCGTTCTTATAGAAACGAGAATCATTACAAAGACACGTTTTCAAAATACTTTCAAAACCACACCACAAAGCACACTTTCAAACAAAAGCAAGTGATCTAGCAAGCAACTAAGAGCCCATAGATAACTACGAATGAAAAGGGTGCTAATACCTTCCCTTTTCATAACCTACCCCCCGAACTCAAGAAATAATCTCAAAGGCCGTTCCTGTTCTTTTCAGCCTTTTCTTATTGGATAAAAGAAAAGTTGGTGGCGACTCTTGCTAACCGCAACAATTGCGATTAAACGCAAAACATACCAAGTCAGTTCTCTCACTGCATTACACTAATATATGGGTTATGTGGCATACTTTTACCTGTTTTGAAGCGAAAGTTCTGATCGATCTAGATGTGACTATTTTGAGATCGGTATATCATATTATCATGATATTGCAACGTCCACGTGGATGTTAAAGTGTAATGTTTGATGTAATGTTTCAATCCTTAATGTATTACCTATGTTATGATATGAATTGTATTTTGAATTTGTGAAATTGGTATTATTCAATGTTGTTTTTCTGCTTTTAGTGTATTAAAAATCTGGAAATGCAACTTCGTATACAAACCGAAAACAAATTTTCAGGTTTATCCAACGTTATATCAAAACCCAGTGAATCCCGAAAATGTATTTCCGATTTCTAGAGGCATTTTTTGTAACTTTTCATGATGCGCAAGAAAACTATAGGTTAGAAAAAAATCCTCTTAAGAATGTTTAGGAAAATTTCAAATTGGTTGTCTCTCTAACTACATAAATAAACCAAATCTATAAACTTAAGTTTAGTGGTGTTAAAAAAATTGTAAATTGAACCGAACCGGATTGAAGTTAAAATAACTGAATGTTATGTTTGGTTAGTGAACC